TAGATGGAAGCCTTGACAAGCAGTACAATGACCACGCTGTGGTGGCAGTAAGCAGGGGAAAAGAAGAAGCAAATCTCGGGAGCACCTAGTGTAGTGCAAGAAAACCAGAGTAATCTATGATGTGGTTACCAAGATTGCTACAAGCAGTACAATGACCACGCTGTGGTGGCAGTAAGCAGGGGAAAAGAAGAAGCAAATCTTGGGAGCACCTAGTGTAGTGCAAGAAAACCAGAGTAATCTATGATGTGGTTACCAAGATTGCTATTTGTTAGATGCTGCCAAACCTTGAAGGTTGGCCACCTCCTCTAGGAAGCCTTCTCTGACCCTTGGCACAGGTATAACAGTTTCATTCTTAATGATCAAAAACACTGTAATAATAATATTTGTGACAAATACTCATAAAACTCTACAGAAATGTATAAGGGAAAGGATAATAATTCTGCTACTCTTTCTAACTTCACCTTCTTGATAAATGTGATGTCTTTCAACAATTTCTCAATGCTAGTACATATACAAGGAGCCTTCAAAAAGTTCACGGAAAGATTCATATTATCTTTTAATTCTAATTTTCCATTAACTTTAAAAAATAACTTTGTATATCCCCATGTATTATCACTATTATTAATTTAGCAAAATGGGCTCATGCACACCACCTCAAAACTTGCTTTTTGCACCTAACATGATGGACATTCCTCCACTTGAATATAGAATAGGCCTAACTCAATATTTTTAGAATCTTCCATATATTCTGTAATTCAGATAGAACAAATATATCCCAACCATACCATCTTTCTGTCATTCCAAAAAATTCCTGCTTTAAAGATTCTTACAAGTATTTTTGTTTTCCTTTAGAATAGATTCTTTGAAGTGGGATTGGTAGGTCAGATTTTAATAGCTTTTGCAATACCACTCCAGAAAAGACAATGCACATTTGCACAAACAGGATAGGAGGGTAAATATGGTGCTATATTCAGAACAGCACTGGGTGTTTTCACTTACTTTACTTTACCAATTAAATGGGTGAAAAATGGTGTTAAGTTGTTTTAAATTACAATTTATCACTGTTAAAAAGGGAGAGCAATTTTTCATGAGCTTTATTGTTCATTTCAATTAATGTTTCTGTGAATTGCCTGTTCATGTAGTTTACCTATTTCTTTCCCTAGTGGATTGTTTGTCTTTTTGTTTTTTTATCAATATGTAGGTGCTCTTCGCATGTTAAGAATATCAATTCCTGTTCTGTCACTTATATGCATCACAAAATTTTTTTTGACTTTGCTTATATTGATTTTAGCTATAGCAGATTTATTATTTTTCATATAATTGGCTACATCTATATTTTAGTTTATGCTTTCTGCATCTTT